TTAGGCATTACGTGATTAAAAGTTTAATTGCCTTCAGCCTAAGAAACTGAGTTTGTGGCTAAAAAGCTGCTAAATGTGATAAAGAGCCAGGCGTGACGTATTGGTTAGCATGCTGGGCTGTATATCGCAATGTCCAAGAGTCGAGTGTAAGATAAATCGCTCAAAATTATCCCGCTTTTATACACTTTTCCGCGTGTTATAAAAGTAAGAGTCAATCCCATAATTCAGATAATAGGAGTCGTTTAGACGGTGTATGATCGGTTGCTCTCTCCCTTGTTAGCATTTCTAAATTAAGGAGAGCTATGCCTGTACCTTGGGGTCGCTGGCCTGGCCGTCTAGCCCATGTGTTGCAGTGCTGTTCAGGTTTAAATACTAAACACAGTAAGAAATTAAACATCTTTGTGTTCCCCTTAAAACAACGTTTTATAATGCAACACAGATTGTTTTATTTAGCGTATGTCGAAACTTAAGGCCAACCAAATTGTAAACATAGAGGAGTTTTATTAAATGATACGGACAACCACAGCTTTGTATTTACTTCAACTTTGCGTGTAACCACAGCTTTGTATTTACTTCAACTTTGCGTGTAACCACAGCTTTGTATTTACTTCAACTTTGCGTGTAACCACAGCTTTGTATTTACTTCAACTTTGCGTGTAACCACAGCCTATGCAAAGTTGAAGTAAATACAAAGCTGTGGTTACACGCAACATTGAAGTAAATACAAAGCTGTGGTTACACGCAAAGTTGAAGTAAATATAAAGCTGTGGTTACACGTAAAGTTGAAGTAAATACAAAGCTGCTACTATCATATTCAAATTCGCTGGATGTGCAAGATTACACAGTTATCCCACATTAGCGATATGTTATTCACAAGATGATGTAAACGAATCAGTCAGATTAAGACTCAGATTGGTGATTGTAGATACACTTTTTTTTCAGACATACAGAGGTTCTTTGTAATCAACACGAATATGTGTATATGGTACAGCGGACTTACAACGCTAGAAACTGGGTTTCAATACATGTGGTGGGAAGAGAACAGAAGGCTTATTGTGTAGCTTTGTGCTTAATTACAAATAAACAAACAAATTGATCAAATAAGTTACTACCGAACCTGTTTAATTATGTTATTGTTATTTTATGCGCAAGCTACACAATAAGCTATCTGTGCTGTACACCGCGGCTGTTTATTTAAGTTGTGGCTAAAATTTAAATATCTTATTTTTATACGTAAACTTACCACATTTCCCCACCTTGCAAGTGATCATTTATCTCAAATTAGCAGAAACATGTTTCACTGCTTGGGTGTGGCGTGTTCTAAGGTTAGCGTGCCCGAACTGTGAATCCGAAGGTTCTTGGTTCGCGTCCTCTTGACGTTAAAGTGGTCCTGTGTGCGCTATAATAGGAGTGACGATTGAATACCAACAACTCGGTCATACAGGAGTAGCCCAAGAGTGGCGGTTGGTGCTATTGACTGTATTCCCTTCAGTCTATCAGGTCAAGTTTGAACGGTTTTGGTACATTTCAATAAGTTTAGATAATATATATATATATACAGAAATGACTGTGCAAATAAAAAAAGCACAACTTTTCTTAATGTAAGGATTTTTTGTTTGGTAATTTTTCACTATGAAATGTTTGTCACAAAGCCGAAGTAAACACAAAGCTGTGGTTACACGCAAAGTTGAAGTAAATACAAAGTTGTGGTAACACGCAAAGTTGAAGTAAATACAAAGCTGTGGTTACACGCAACATTGAAGTAAATACAAAGCTGTGGTAACACTCAAAGTTGAAGTAAATACAAAGCTGCTACCATCATAGTCAAATTCGCTGGATGTGCAAGATTACACAGTTATCCCACATTAGCGATATGTTATTCACAATATTTTTTCCCTATGAACTGTTTATCGCATTCTTGTAAATGATTTTTTATATATTACCGGTTATTATTATTTATCTTAGATTCAGCTGTGTTCTAGTGTTTATCGTTTAGGGGTGGTTAATATCACCATTTCAGCGACACCTATTGAGTTTAAGATATATGATTTAATACTCGGGGACAAGAGATATATAATTATATATACATGATTGCTTTCGTGCTGAAGATCCATCAAGATATTTCGTGCCCCAATAGTTACAAGAACGGGAGATTATTACATATATTGTGAACAGAAGAAAATGCATTTGAATCAGACACATAATGTAGCCTTTTTACAATGTAATACATTTAAAATTTTATATTGTATCATGAAATATATCCAAGCAGATTCTTCCGTTTTGTATTTTCATTATATTTCTTTACCAGCTGGAGTACCAGTCCCCTGGACGGAAGTTATCTAAATTCATGATTAATGAAAGGTTATATTAGGACATGAAAAGTTGCTTTCCTTATATGTAATTGTAAAAAGCGCCCGTAAAAACTACAAAATACAAAATGTGAAACCGTAAATTTGCATGTTTCTCCGCATGAACCCAACAAACCTTCATACCATATTTGGTGAAGATCCATCCAAACCCTGCGAAGTAGTTACATGGACATACAACAGACAGTACTATTATATTTATATAGATTTGACACTTTAGTAATTAAGCATATAAGAAACAAGGAATGTCATGGCGAAGCCTCATTACTGAAAGGTTTTGTATTTTTTAGATTGCAAAAGTGAAAAATGTTTTTCTAGTCTAAATTGAGGTATAAATAATTAACAACCAAAAGTTCTGGATATGTAAATTAACCAGACAATGGAATAATAACAGGACTCAGTTGGAAATAAAACGTGTAGATCAAACTATGAAATTCAAATATTTCTATAACCTTATTGTATTATGACGTAAAACAAGGCGATGCACGCGTTTGTCACAAATGGAGAACAGATATTAATGGTTATTCGGAGTTTTTAAATACGGTATACACATGTTAGTATGGCCCCAAATGCGAGCTGTAAAGACTATTTGTTTAATCAGGCAGTCGGTAGCACTGCTTATGTAGGGATGGCTCGGATTGTTCATCGAAATGGTATTTTAACTCTCTCCTCACTAGGTCATCAGAACTTTACAATAATATACAGTATTTCATTTTGTAACAATATCTATTTAATGAGTGAGTCACAAATTCTGGGAATGTCTGTAAATATTATAGCAAAAAGTTTAAATTTCTTGTTCTTATTTCTTCGATTTTTTGATTACATGATAACTCAGGAACCAACATAATAATATCTTTAAGAAAAGTCATTAACCCTAAGTAAGGCTGTTGTCACACATGCTGAAACATTTATTCACAAAACTTCAAGAATTAGGTAGGGGATTATGATCTAAGATCAACTGTTCAGATTTATAGGTAATCATTCATAGTAAACTTGTAAGATAGATCAGACAATAAACTAATGCCTATGTTCATTGTAAATATTAGAAATGATAAATATGTTTCACCAGTAGAGGTGATATGTTCGAAAATAGCTTTTTCTGTTTCATGATTTGACGGGCCTGAAAAGGACCTTTAAATTT